TGTCATTTTCCAACTGGCAGAAAAACAAGACTCAGTCAAGCACTTATTAAATTGTTTAGAGAAAATTGAAGAGAGCTTTAGAGAACAATTTTGTAAGACAGTGACAAAAATATTGTCTGGACCACAAGCCGTAGAAGAGTTTAATCAAAACATGACTTCAGCAATGGAAGCTGGAGTGATTTGAATATCTAATAATGAGTTAACCCGTTTAATTGGAATGGAAGGAAGAGAATGGCCATAAGATTCAAGAGTCGAATTAGAAGAGAAGTTATTTTTAAATAGTTCAGTCTAATCCTTGGGAAAGATAATAAGATCAATCCCATGAATGAGAAATGGAATGTTAGACCTTCCTTTGTTAACAACGCTGTTGAAGATTTTCCAAAAGAGCCAACGAAAAGGAGTAAAAGCATCCATTCCAGCCTGAATCTAGGAACTTACTTAGGAGGCGCATTTTTCAGAGCGAAAAGACATCAGCCCAAGGACTATCACAAGGAAAATTACGAAAAGAGTCCCAATCAGCTTTAAGGTAGTAGTAAGTAGTGTGATGATAGGATGTGTTTGAAAAGGAAGTATGAGATAAAAGATTTAAACAGATCATGCCAGTAGGGTCAGTAGCGTTAGAGCAAAGCCATTCAGCATGACGAGGATTAAAGTCATTAAAATTCAACAGTATTGGCAGAGTGATAAAGAGAGAGAGCATGGTCAATTTGATCAGAAATTATATATCTAAAAGAGTGCAGTCTTAGGAAGAAGGAGAACGATAAAAAACAAAGAGAAAGGTGATAGAGTAAAGAGGTGATAAGAAAAAGCACAAAAAGGAATGCTCAAAGGATTTGAATCTGATTTCATAACGGGTAGGTGAAATGATGCGTTTGTATACCTCGAAGCCGAGCATGTGGCTTCTGGAGTTTTTGAAATCAAATGAAAGTACCCATCAGGATTGAGATCAGAAGAAGGAATGGCAGAATTAAAATTAGTCTCACTAAGAGCAAGCAAGCTTAGTGAATTTTTTGAGAGGTAAGATTCAATTGATGGAAGGTTGCTTCGCAGACCACGAATAATAGTAAAAGATATATTAAAACAGTAAGGTGATGAGAATGGTTTTTTATGTTTAATATTTTGATTTACATTTGGCATATTTAAGTTAGATAGAGCATGGCCTCCCAAGCAATTAGTTATGCAATTTTCTCAGTCCTGTTAACTAACCCTAAGTTTTAACATAGGACTCCTTATGAGGTCTCAACAATGCGCACCAAAAACATTAACAGCGACACCATCCATGAGCAACATGGTACTGTTAATACTCTGATATTTTGCAGCTGTTGATGGAATCAACCTCTCTGAGAGCTACCACTTTACCCTCATCAGGAGATAACAGGAAGAGTTAAATAGCCACAATCAATGAGGCACAAGCAAAAAGATATGAGAAAAGTCAAGAAAATCCAGCATTCATTATCCTAAGCAGAAAACAATGTAACACAGGTTTACATCTACGCTAGTCTAGTAGATGAAGAAGAGGTTTGAGGATGTTGAACATAATTATTCTGCTTACCCCTAAAGTCTTTGCCTGGGAGGCCTTATACAAGACAGTAGCTGGATGCAGTTAACATCTGCCTAAGATGATTATTATTTTTATTATCAGTGATACAAATAAATATTTTAGTATAAATTTTGTTGTTGAGTTTAATACATGTCGATACCACTTTTTTTTTCAAAAGTATTTTTTTTTTTCAAAAAGTTCTTACCGTGCACGTTCACGGTAAGCTCTTCAAGAGTAATAATAAAAAATGGAAATAACGATCAAAAATATCGAAAAAATTATTACAAGTTTGAAGAACAAAAAAGAACTTTGCTTAAAGAAACAGAAAGGTTATTAAAAGACCAAGAAAAAAACTTTACACAAATAGTGAGTGGAAATATAAAAACAAATACTAGTAATTATTTTTATATTTCCACACTCAATTTTTTCACTATTTTCGTTTTTCGAGTCTATCAGCTGATAGAAAATGAAAATAAATTAAATATTAACAAAGTAAATATGCGAAATATTGAAAAAGATGTGAAAGAAAGTCTCAACTTTCAAGAAAAAAAAATAAAAGAAGAATTAACACAAATAAGTAAGAAATATGATCTTGAAATTAAAAACATAAAAAAAATAATAAAAATACTGACTTAGATAACCGCTCTCGTCGTAACAACATTAGAGTTGATAGTCTGAAAAATTCACCAGGAGAAAGTTGGATGTGAGAAAGTGAACACGAGAAAGTGAATGAAAGTGAATGTGAGAAATGTGAGAAAATGTGAGAACGTAAGAAAGTGAAAAAGTGAATGTGAGAAATCAGTGAAAGAAATATTTACAAACAACCTTAAAATTTCAAGCAAAACTATTGTGGAGCGAGCGCATCGAATTGGTTTATAAAGAAAACAAAACACCAAGAACTATCGTAGTGAAACTATTAAACTACCCAGGCCCGTGGCAACCGGGCGGAGGGGGAATGAACATTTGCCTTCCTCTCCCCCCCCCCCCAATACCTGAGATTTAAAAACTGGTAGTTTTTAAATCTCCAGATTTAAAAACTACCAGTTTTTAAATCTGGAGATGATACTAATATTTCTAACTATAGACCTATTTCCATACTTCCTTGCTTTCTCGAAAATACTAGAACGCATTGTGTATAACTAATTATACTCACTTTTAGAAAAAAATAATATTATTTATAACAAACAATTTGGCTTTAAAACAGGGCACTCTACTGATCATGCCATACTTCATCTCATTCAGATTATTATTCAAGGTTATGATAAAAACAAGTTTACTTTAGGTGTTTTCATAGATCTTAGTAAGACATTCGACACTGTTGATCATAGTATTTTAATCAAAAAATTAGAAAACTACGGAATCAAAAATATAAACATAGCTTGGTCCAAAAGCTACTTATCTAATAGAAAACAATATATTTCATTCGGCAATGAAAAAACTAACAATATGATAATTACTTGCGGCGTTCTTCAAGGATCAATATTAGGACCACTTTTATTTTTAATCTATATTTATGATATAAGCAAAGCTTCTAATATATCTTACTTCCTGATGACATAAATTCATTTTATTATCATAGTGATATAACAACATTATTTAAAACGGTCAACATTGAACTTCTAAAACTAACTGAATGGTTAAACATGAATAACTTTTAATTTAACTAAAACTAAGTACACTATTTTTCATCGCCTCCATAAAAAAGATAAAATCCTTCTTGCACCTCCAAAAACTTATTATTAGAGAATACATCGTAAAAAGAGAATGTTTAATGAAGTTTCTAGGTGTAATTTTAGATAAAAACATAAATTAAAATTACCATATAAACATACTTAGATCAATTTGATCAGTTTGAAATACATGTATTACTCATATATTCATTCCTACCTTAATTATGCAAACATTGTTTGGTGCAGCACCAATAAAACAAAGACAAAAAAAATATTTTGCAAATAAAAACATGCAATTAGATTATTATCAAATGCCTTGCACATTTTAGACCATTGTTTAACAATCTAGAAATATTAAACTTGTACCAAATAAATATATATCATCTGCTAATTTTAAGTATAAAACTAATAATAATGCAATATCAAATATCTTCAAACCATTATTTAATAAAATTCAACACAAATACATGACTAAATATTTAAGTAACAGCTTTGTTCAACCCAAAACTATATATATAATCCAACAAGTTCTCAATAACTATTAGAGGACCTAATGTATGAAATAAGATAATTAGTAATGATATTAAAACAATTACAACTCTTGAACATAACGAACAAACAGAGAATATTTTTAAATCTATCTATAAAAATATTATATTTAAAAATTATCTATTAGTGCATACTTTATTTGTCTGGAAAGGGATCGTCCATAAATTACGTAACGCGAAATTTAACTAATAGACAAAAGAAAAAGTGTTAAAATTTTTCCCTCGCAGAGTCTTTAATTAAACCATGTATAAATAACCCTTTAAGTCCAGCGAAAGCCACCGCTCAAAAGAGCATAATGTTCTCCTATTTATACTTTTAAAATTAGTTTTGCGTTGCGTAATTTATGAACGATCCCAAAGGTCTTAAGTCTTTAATTATATACATGATAGTCAACTATATTATGAAAAAATAATTATATAGATTTACTGCATTTATGCATGTGTGCGTATATATATATATATATATATATATATATATATATATATATATATATATATATATATATATATATATATATATATATATATATATATATAGTATCTTTTGATTGTAAATTAACTTTTATGTTTTCATTTTTTCATGTTTTTTTTTTTTTTGTTGCTGTTTGTTTTTGTTTTCATGAATGAGTTTTAAAAATTTTCTTTTAATGAAACTTTTTTCTTTTATCTCTCATTTTTAATTTTTTTAGGCAAACCTGTCTTTTTCTCGTCCTTGCCATTTTTATATATATTATATAACTAATCATATATTTTCATTATATAATATACAACTAATCATGTATTAATATTATTAACTCTACTCATCTATTTGATAACTAATTAGTAATACTTTTCTTCTTCATAACTTTAAAGTTTAAACTTTAAAAGCTAATGTCACAATATTAAGTTCAAAAGATTCAACTTTTAAACATTAAGTTAAAATTGAAATACTCAATAAATGAAAGTTATTATTTACATTAACTCATATTTTAAATTTTTGTAATATATTAAATTTATTCAACATAGAATATACTGAGTTTCAGTAAGTATCTAAGTGAATTATTCATTCTGCACTGTGGAGTCAAACGAGAATTTCTTTATCTTATATTTAATACTATTTACTTTAGGTAGATCACCACTTATTAAAAAAAAATATTTTAAAAATAGTGGAAAAGGTTTGGATTCATACGGCTCTTGTTTTAAATGAAACCAATCAACCAGGCCTAGCAACAAGCACCGAGAGGTCATCAATTTTTTAAATATAAAAACGCTAAAATTAGTAGAGTCCGCGTATGTAAATGATCGCGTATAGTTCAACATATATTAATAGTCATCATTGTAAATCATATTTTGAATATCTTTTCTATTAAGGAACAAGCGCTAACAATACATGCAAAAATGAATTTCTTTGGGGAAAAGGTAAGCGTATTATCATTTTCACTTTTTACCACACCCTTATTTCGCACCAATATTTATTATCCATACTGTTTATTGTATTTTTTTCCTCTGGCTTTCTTTTAAAATTAAGCAAAAATCAGAATAGGATTATCGTAAAAACACCCAATTCAAAAAAAAAATTGCATTTATGCCATAAAGAAAAACATGTTTTCTTTTTCTTAAATTGTGAAGTTCAGAATTTCCTTGGCATTTCTGAGGAACTCCTAAGGTTATTAAAAAAGAAAGAAAAGATTGCCTAACAAGAACAACTACCAAGATTGATTCAAATTGAGGTACATAACTTATGTACCTCGATTTGAATCAACCTTGGTAGTTGTTCTTGTTAGGCAATCCTTTCTTTCTTTTTTAATAACCTTAGGAGTTCTTATGTCATAAGATTTGTTGATTTGTTGAAATAACGCCAATAACAATTTATTTTCCAGAAAAATACAAGAACATAAATGAGAGCACTGGATGTATACACTGGAGAGTTTATTCTTATATAACGTCATAAAAACATAGAAAACAACTGTGAAAATAGCAAAACAAACAAAATACAAATCTTATTTAACCCTGTTTAAGAGTGGATGGGATTTGACCTCTAGATTTAGTATAGATAAATGTTAGGTGAGACTTGAATAAAGCAAAAAAAAAAAAAAAAAATTCAAAGTTTTTTAAAAACATAATACTAGGTATATAAATTGAAATTAATCAAGTTTTAGGTTCTTATATATTATTAGAAAGAGCTTTAATTCTATATTTAAAAAGTGAAAATGATCAAAATCAAACAATTCCACAAAAAATTATGATGTTTTGAGCATTAATTTTTTGAAATGTTGATTGTTGCAGAAACTTGCAGAAGCTGTAGTCAAATACAAGTTTTTAAAAAATTTAAGTTAATATAACTTGTTAATTCTCATCTTAATGTTCATAAATTGCTATCAAAAGATAGATGTAAGAATAACCTATAAATTTATATGGGGTTCTAGCTATCAGGCATTTTTGTTGGGGTTAAATGGGGTACCCAGTCACTATTTCTAACATCAGTTCAGATAGTGGTTAATTTTTTTTTAAAAAAAATTTTTTTCAAAAATTTTTTTTTCAATGAAACAAATCACTTTTTCATCTCTAATCACTGCCAAATATGAGAGCTTCTGTGGAGGTTATGATAGGTGTCTGACTTGTTATACCCACATCCACCATAATGGTTTAATGTACCCTACTATTCAAAATGGTTAGTTCTTATAAGTATTTTTATCTTTATTTAAAAAAAGTAGATATAGTATCAAAAATAAATTTTATTATTCTATAAATAAAAACATTTAAATAATAAGTTTTAATATTAAAAAAAAAAAACATTGCAAAATGCATAAGAGTGTCCATTTTTAAAAGATAGTAGTCTCTCCACTCTAATCTAAAAAAATTTAAGAATAAAAAATGCTTTGAAATAATATTCAATTTAAATTTTAGTTATTGGGTAAGATATTAAGCTCCATCAAAAGGACTTTATAACAACCATTGTTAATGAACCAAGACCCAGAGCCATCTATCAAAAAGTGCAAGCTTCACTACTTTCAGTTTCATTTCATGCCAAATCAGTACACTTACCAGCACATATCACCCATTATTTTTGAATTTATAAACTTTTAAATAAAAATTATTTTTGTCCTTTATATTATGAAAATTAACTTAAACTTAATGCATTAGCAAGCATTTCAAAGTGTTTAGAATTTTAGTGTTCAATCTCCTTTTTAAGTAAATGAATTTATTCTTTATATTTTATATAAATAATTATCAAATAATAAAAAACTTTTTATCAAAATAACTTTTTGACTGCTTTTGTGAAGACAGGAGCAAATCCAGTTCTTTTAAATAATATAAATATTAACGAAAATAAAACCAAATTGTTAATAATTTGTTTTTAGTATACTATTGTTAATGTTTTTGTTATGGTATGCAGGCCTTGGCATGAATCGGGAGCAATCGCCCCCTTCACGTTTAACGAGCGTTTCAAAAAAAACGCTCGCTAATCAAGTTTTTTTTAAAAAAAAGTAGACATTTAAAAAAAAAGTTGTTGTAAAGACCACCCCAGTCCTAGTCAAAAGTGTCACCCTAATCATTGTTAAAAGAAGTTTATGGTAAAAAAAAGGCTTTTTCATCAATATTTAAATGATATCAACAATTAAGTGACATTTTAATGTTGTCTAAAAGTTAAAACAATTAAAATAATGCAGAAGTGAATTAAGTTTTATAGTTTTTTAAAAAACAGCAATAATAATAACTAGAAATTTTTTTTTTATTGTTTTATTATATTTTTAAAAGATGCAAGGAGTGTTATATTGACTGAAAAAAAGGTAAATTATGTGAGGAGTGTTACTTTTTTATTGTAAAACATGTGCGTAGTGTTGCTACATAGACTATGTTATAGCCTACTGCTACAAGGGAGTGCAGCTACATCGACTATGTTATAGCCTATTGCTACAAGGAAGTGCTTCTACATTGAGTGAGGGTTTGGTTTGGGCAAGCAATCTATCATTTAAAAAAAAACTTTATTTAAGTTTTTAAACCTTTTCTGGTCTGGTTTATTAGGATTGTCTTTGATGTTATATGTTATAAAAATGGAAAAAAACTTTTCAACGAAAATATATATATATATATATATATATATATATATATATATATATATATATATATATATATATATATATCCTTATAGTGTAGTCGAAAGAGACTTTTATGGTAAAAAAAGTATTTTATAAAAAAAGTATTTTTACCATAAAAAAATTTTTTTTAAATATTATAATTATATTATATATATAATTATATTATAATTATATTATATATTATATAATATATATATATATATATATATATATATATATATTTATTAATATAATATATATATATATTTTATATATATTTAATATAATATATATATATATATATAATTTATTAATATAATATATATATATATATATATATATATATATATATATATATATATATATAATTTATAAAAAATTTTTTTTTTAAATATTTTTACCATAAAAAAATTTTATGGTAAAAAAAGTATTTTTCCATAAAAGTCTCTTTCGACTACAATTTTTTTACCTTGTCTCTTAAGCTGCATTTTATTGTCATCGAAATTAATGCGGAAGTACATTAAATTTTATTGTTTTATAAAAAAAACGCAATAATAATGACTAGAAAGTTTTTTATAATTAGTGGTTTTTGTTTTATTAAAAAACATTTTTAAAACATTTGTAAGTGTTGCTACATCGACTATCTTATAGCCTGCTGCTACAAGGGAGTGTTGCTACATCGACTGATAAATAGCCTGACTCGCAAGGGAGTGCTGCAACATCGACTGAGGGTTTGGTTTGGGCAGGCAGTCTATCATTTTAAAAAAAAAAGTTTTTCAACATTTTCTGGTCAGGTTTATTAACAGGCTCTTTAAAACAACAGTTTATAGGAAAAACATTGTGACTACCATGCAAGACTATATATATATATATATATATATATATATATATATATATATATATATATATATATATATATATATATATATATATATATATATATATATATATATATATATATATATATATATATATATATATTAGGGTGGTCCATAAAACAACTTTTTTGAGAAAAACCTGCTGACACCCCCTAAATGTGTTTTATCTAATGCAAAAACACTAGGTTTAAAATTTTTTTGAACAAAAATTATTTTTAGGGGTAGCTCAAGGCCCTCAAAAATTTGACGGGTCCCTAATATTTTGAAAAAAAAAACTTTTTCTAAAGTATGTCAACCTGGTACTCAAAAGAAGCGATATTGTATAAAAACTTCAAAAATAATAATCATTTTACATAAAAAACATGCCTAAAAAAAATTATTTTCAAAAAACCTGAAAATATTGACTTTTTTTATTTTCAGCTTAAAAACAATAGTTTTTATGCATTTATACCTAAAAAAATTATTTTTATAAAAAATGATTATCATTTTTAAATTTTTTATATAATTTTGCTTATTTTGAGTACCAGGTTGACATACTTTAGAAAAAGTTTTTTTTTCAAAATATTAGGGACCCGTCAAATTTTTGAGGGCCTTGAGCTACCCCTAAAAATAATTTTTGTTCAAAAAATTTTAAACCTAGTGTTTTTGCATTAGATAAAACACATTTAGGGGGTGTCAGCAGGTTTTTCTCAAAAAAGTTGTTTTATGGACCACCCTAATATATATATATATATATATATATATATATATATATATATATATATATATATATATATATATATATATATATATATATATATATATATATATATATATATATATATATATATATATATGTATTTTATATATATATATATATGTATTATATATATATATATATATATATATATATATATATATATATATATATATATATATATATATATATATATATATATATATAATACATATATACACTAAACAAAAATATCTCTGATCTATTTAAGCAAGAGTAATCTAAGAGATAGCAATTGCTAGGAACATATATTTTTATTTAAAAATATGTTAAAAGAAATAATTTTAACATGTGTTATTAAAATGATACTGCGTTGAAGGCTTACATACCAAAGAAATAAATGAGAAAGTTTTATGGTTTCTTTATAGCATTTTTTTTATGTTTTAAAATAAAAAAAGTTAATTTCTTAGTAGAATTTATTTAGCACTTATTTGTTTTATTAACTAATTGTTTAGAATTTATTAGATTTAAAAATGTTTATTGAGCTAATCTAGTTTATTTAGTTCAATTTTATTTTATTAAAAAATAAACTAAATATACAAGCTTTAAAGATTCTTAAGTCGCAGATTAAACCAATGTTTTTGAATATTTTAAAATATAATTGTTTGTTGAAATTTATTGTTTTATTTTTTCGATATAAGGGAAATAAGGATTTTTCACCACAAAAATTGCCAAAATCAAGGGACTCCTAATAAATACTAATCTTTCTCAACAAGAAATTGTAAAAAGATTCTCTTGTTGAGAAAAATGTACAAAAGACTAATAGAGAGAACTTGACATAAAAGAGGATTGGTGAAACAAAGAAAATCTTAATACCCTGTGGTGAAAAGATACTAAGATTGTCTTAGAAAATAGTGTGTTAACAAGAAAATTGTTAAAAGTGTTAAAGAGATTAATAGTTTAAACTATTAAATATCTTACCTCTGTGTTGATCTGATCAGCACTATGTAAGACCTCTGTGTTGATCTGATGAAAGTCAGTCTCTGTGTTGTCAGATAAAAGGGAAAATCTTCATGCAGGGTGGGGAACTTTACTTATTTTTATTCCAAAAACAGTTCTAGCTATTATAAAGGCAAAAGCGAGAGTTCCCAAATATTGATATAAAAAATATTTGTAATAATTTGAATATATTAAAATTTATTATTAATTTGTGAAATGCTTTTTATTTGTCTATAAAATTTTTGTTATAAAAATAAATTTTTTGAGTACTTAAATCACAAAAAAAAAAATCATTGACTTTAAAACTTATGTATGAAAAAAATTGATTGAATATATATATATATATATATATATATATATATATATATATATATATATATATATATATATATATATATATATATATACACACACACACACACAAACTGTTTTAAAAAAAGAAAGATTACAATAGTATATTACAAACTTTTTGTGACGCTGTTGTACAAATTACTGTTATTCAAGCTGACAAAATTTATTGCATAAATAAATAAAAAATGGTATCTTGTTTTGTGGTGGCTATTTGTTATTAGACTAATGATTTTCTTTACAGGTGATGAAAATAATTTTAAATGAGAGTATATATGTGACACTTTATGAATCCCTCTAATAAATGCTCTTAAAAAGAGTCTCTTAGCCAATGAAGTATTTCTTTTTCCATTAGGTTTTATTAATCATCTATAAGTAGAAAGTTATTGTCTATGACACATATTAAGGTTAAAATATCACTATAATATTTTTTTTATATTTTAAAAGTTATTTACTATTTATAATTAGTCTATAGTTGCAATTATTTACTTTTTTTATTTTCTAATTACAATTGATTATTTTAATTATTTGATTAAGATTTTACTTAATTACAGAAAAAATGTCCTTATTTTACCTGGGGATGTGCTGATGAATTTACATATCGACTTCAAAAAAGCTTGTATTGTGGTAAAGAAAATGACTTTTGTGATTCTTCATCTTTGCCATTGACTGGTTTGTGAATTTTTATAATAAATATTTTAATTAAAATTTTATAATTAACATTTTTAATTACAATATATAAAATAAACCAATTTTTATTTCAACTTTAAACAATGCCAATTTTTATTTCAACTTTGAACAATGCTGAATGGCATAAAAAACCTGAGTTATTTCTATGCACTTAATCCGCAACAGAAAAAACTGTGAAACAGAGAGTAATCTGGTATGGTAAATTCAAGGTAAGAAATGTTAAGAAAACCTGTTGTTTAACAAATCGAAAAGAATTTGCCAAGTTTATTTCTGAAAGTGTTTATGTTAGCACTTGCTCATTTTCATTTGATAAAATCAGGTGCATGATGCACTTCAGTCACCTGCCACACAGAAAAATTTATGCAAATTTATAACTCTGTGACTACAGCAACCCTCGGAATTAAGGTCGGCATTCCGCAATGCCGACCTAACTGCTGACCTAATATTGTTTGAGGTTGGCAAAAAATTGCCAACCTCATTTCTATGTTATACGGTATGACCTTTGTCAAATTTTTTTTGCCGACCTGATGCTGACCTCTAAGAGATTGAGGATGGCAAATTATTGCCGACCTCATTTTTCCTAATTCCGAGGGTTGCTACAGTGATCTGAAATCATCAAAGTTCATGACTTGATTGATAATCTTAAATTTATTGATAGTTTTATTTTTAGCTATTATAATGATAGTCTAATTCCAACTAATAAAAATAAATTATATGTTTTTAACTGATGTTCTTTAAACTTTAAATTTATTTTTAAAATATATAGCAATCACCATATTTGTGGATAGAAATGTGATGTTGTTAATCAGAGGCATTGACTTAGTTTCTAAAAGTTATAAAGTTATAGAAAATATACTTGGTCTTATAAAGTTATATCTGTTTCAATAAGTTCATCTTGAAGAAATATATATTTATATTTTTCTTTTATTTCAACTTTTTTATTGACTTTTTTTGTAAACTAAAGTTCATAAAATCATTAATTTGATTATTTAGATGTTGCAGTGTCAATGGTTTTAGATATTTCAACATGCCCTCGAAGAAAATTAACTCACAGATATGCTAGTTCTCTGACAAGGTAAATTTCTATAAGAATATTCCTACTAAATGTTATTTTTAGAGGGTTGTTTTTTATTAGTTTTACTTTATTTATCAAGTTTTATTTTTACTGTTATTTTATATTTAAATGATATTAAATTTATATTATATATTATTTCAATATTGTTTATTGATACACAATTTGATTAAAAACTAAAATTAAAAAAGCTAGCTTTTGTTACAGAAAAGCATCTATGACATAAATGTAACTTAACTCACCTTTTATATTTAAAAATAAAAAATAAGTTATGTCATTAGGGCTTATATCAAGACCAGCTTGGTTAAAGACACTGAACAGTCTCTCTCCAGACTTTTCAGCATATTATCCTAGAGAACAAGAATTAAATTGCACAAATGGGAGGATATGGCAAGTAGTATTGTTATCGACTTCAACTAAAAGTTGACTTTTCGAAAGTTGAAATCAGTCAACTTTAGTAAAAATTAAGTAGTAGATTTAATCGACTATGGACGTCCTATTAATTGACTAAAAGTCGAATTGATTAAAAACTGTAAAATTTTTATTTAACTTTTTGGTCTTTAATTTTTATTTGTTCATATAACAATAGTATGTATTAATATAACTATTATCTATTTTTTTGTTTACTCTTCTAAAGTTTTATCTAATTCATAGCATGTTAGCATTATTTATACCTAAATAAACTTTCAATTATGTATTTCATTAATTTTTTCTTTTGTTTACTCAATGCTTGTGATTTTCATAAAAACTTTGATACAGGGACGCTCCAAGCTGGCTCAGGGCCCAGGGAAAAATTAATTTTTGAAGCTCCAAAATCTAAATGTCATTAATTTATACTATCACATTTTATGACTTTTTGTTATATAGTAAGTATTATTATTTATTATTTAATATAAGGCAATCCCTAAATCATTGGGGTCTGGGAATAGATTGTGTCGCTGTTGGAGCAGCCCTTCTCTCATATTCTTTTGCTCATTGGTACAAGTAATTTGATGAAAATGGGGCTGCAGATGAAAAGTTTTTGTGATTAGTCCTCGTCTTGTTTTTTTTGGATAAAAATCCTGAAATCAAAATTAATCACTTCCACCACTAGAATTACATCTTCTTATGGGGATTGTTACACTACTTGGTAGACTACTTTTAGATCATTGGCTTCTGTTTATGAATTGGCTCAAAGAATATTATACTTTACTTCGAGGTTATTATGGGATAGGCTTTGATAGCAATAATGACACAAAACCTTTAGAAAAAGTAGATATTTTAGAAAGAGATGTTTTAGCATCTTAAACTAATTTAAAACCAATTGTTGATTAAACTAATTTATTACCAATTGTTGATTTTTGTCTTGGTTTAATTATTATTATTTTTTTTAATATTTTACTTATGTGTTGCTGAGAACAGTTAAACCTTTTAGCTGCCTGTCTTTGATGCTCTTTTTAGTTGCCTTTCTTTACGATCAAACATAAGTTTGATCCTTTTTAATGTTTGTCTTGGTAATTTTTTTAGTCTTTCGTCCAATTTCTAGACTTCTTTGGTAACCAGGTTCACTTTCAGCATATTTAATTGTTTTGTAGATAGTACTTTAAGGTATATTCTCAGTTTTAAAGTGGTCATAAGTGAACTTTTTACCAACATTTCTGTAATTTAAATAAAATTCATGCACACTTTTTTTTAATCTCTCCTTCTTTTGAATTTATTTTTTTATTCATTTGTTATAAAAAATAAAAACACAAAATATTTGAAAACTAAAATGAAAATACTTTCTAAAACATTTTTCCTTTTTGTTTTACCTTATACCTTTAAGAAGTTATGTGTTTTTTAATCCAGTCTTGTTTTTCAGTTGTCACCCATTAGAAGTTTTTTTTTTAATTTTATTTTATGTGGCATAATTTGCATAATTCATAATTAAATTTGTTGTTGTTCATTAACTATTTAAAAAATTTTCTTATTTTTTTATCTTATTTTTTTTATTTTTATTTTTTTTAAATAAATAAAATAATAAAAATCAGAACTTTTACTGAATTGAAACTGAAATTTTAATGTATCTTATTGCCATAAAATCTGGGCAATTTTATCAGTTGTTTGATAAAAATGTTTTTTGTTTTTTTTTACATATTAAATATGATTTTTATTCCAGTTTTTATTTAAATATTATTATATATAATGCTCGAAGTGAGGCCGGATGCCATCCTGTCACCTTTTTATAAAGTATAAACCATCCCACCACCTTTTTATAAATCTCTCTATATAACAATGATTAGGTGGGATGGTATTTTTAATTTACCGAATACTGTCCTGCCAAAAATAGTCCATAAGCTTCTTTACATTTCTGATGCTTGTGGATACCAAAAACCAGGAAGAAGTAATCTTTTTATGACTTTTAAATCTAGAGTCCTCCTTATCCTTGATTATTATATATAGTTATATATATCATTATTCTGTTTATTCTAGTGTTGTATTATCCTATGCTATGTTTGCATTATCCTAGTGTTTACATAATCATCCTAGCTTTCGTGTTATTCTGCATAAAAATTACATTTTAATTTAGACAACTAGTGATTTCTCCGTGTGCACTTATGATGGGAATATTATACACAGAAAAGTTGAGGCAGTCAAATCCATGCTATTTGGTTAGAGTTTCATCTGCTGATCTATATGTTGTTGCCATGGTATTTATATCCAGTTTTTTTTTTTTGCTTTTGATACTATCCTAATCCTAATATTCTTTGTTTTTTGTATTATTGACTTTTTTATGTGCTATTAATTTTTGTGTAAATTTTTTTGATACTACTTTATCATGTTTATTATATTCTAATTAGTTAATATAAATCGTTAATACATGTAATAATTTGATATAAATGATTTTGAATTCATTCTTCATGTTTTCATTCTTCATATTTTCTGAAACATACAATTTGCAATTTTTTAAGTCTTTTTTTCAACAAAACATTTTGTCTTTTTTTTTTTTTTTTTTGCTTTCTTGTTCTTTAACTCTCTCCTTTATTTTCTTTGGGAGTTATCAAAATTTTATTTTGTGATTGATTGCAATCTTGTTGGGAGTGAATTTGTTTGAAAAAAAAAAAGGTTTTAAAACAATTATCCAAGTTGAACTATAAGAACCTCTGGACCATGCAGGTCCACAGGTTTTTCGCAGGACCTTGAAAATTTTGCAATATTTAGATAAGATTAAAAAAGACTTTAAATTAATATTAACAAGTAGTTGGTGTATGGATGGAGCATGATCATCATAAGAGCATCACTTACATCTACATTTTAATATTTCTTATCCAGATAACTTTCAAGATTCTGATCATTTAGCCAAAGCAACATCACCTCATTGACCATATGTGTATTCAAACAATATTTTATGAAATAAAATTGTCTCAGAATATTAGATTCTCTAGACTAGTTATACTGGACATTTTGAGAGAGAATACAGAAGTGATATTAAAAATTAAGTGAAAATAAATGTTCAGATTAGGGCTTCTCAAACGGGATCCCGTTTTTCCAGGGATCCCCGAGGTAAAAAACCATCCCGTTATCCCAGGATATCAATAAAATTTCCCTGGAATCCCCGTAATTTTTTAAACATATTTTTACTCAAATTTTGAGTATCAACATTTTTAATATCTTTACATTTGTAAAGATATTGAAAATATTATTACACAAAATTTGAGTACTAATTACTTCCTTTACCCTTTTGTAATGAATTTCTATAAAAATTAGGAAGATATCTTATAGAGGGCAATTAAATCACCAATATTTTGCAGTTTTGGTTTGTGTCTAAGATAGATAAAATATTATTATTGAATTTGATTTATAAATAGATTTGATTTACTTTTATGTTGTAACTTACAGTATATAAAGCTTGAACAAACAAACCAAATCAATATAAACAAAACAACGGACAAGTTACAAGTACTTGTACAAGCAAAAAAAGTAATTAGTTACGCATAAAAGTTAATAGTTAGTAGATGAAGTAATTAGTTACGTTAAGAAAATAGTTTCTATGTAAAAAGTGAAATAAGTGAAAAGCAAGTAAGTTAAGTTTAAAATATATGTTTAGTAATTACAGCTAATTTTAAATAATTTATGTAAATCTACTATCAGCACACTATTTTGGGATTTAATTGTAGGTAATATAGTTTTATATTTTATTCTTTAATCAATTTTATTAATAGGATAACATCATGTCAAGTGGATCTAAGGCATGGGAAAATTTTACAAAAGAAAAAAACACAGAATCTGCCACTTTTAATATATGTAAAACAACAATAATGTGCAAAGGATTTTCAACTAGTGGTCTTCTTTAAAATTGGTGGCTGTAGATAGTTTTTCTATTAATGCTATTGCAAAATCTGTATTTATAAAAAAATCTTTATCTGATAAAGGAATGATATTGTCAAAAAACCCTTCACATGTAATGAATTTGGTAAAAAGTCAATACCATCTAGCAAAAAAAGTAGTGGTTAAGGAAATGACTATGCAAATTCAAGGTGGTAATCTTTAAAAAATCTTTGCTATTTGAATTTAAATGTGCATTCATGAACTAGGCTTTGGAACTTGGGCATGGTTCGAATAGTTGGGTCGCTTCCAGCTGAAAAAATTAATGACGTGGTTGAAAATAAATTATCTGAATTTAATTAATCTACAAAAAAGCATATAATCTCTAGTGTAGCTGATGGTGCATCAGTTATGAAAAAATATGGAAGATTAAGCGGGATGAAACATCAACTTTGTTATGCACATGGGCTACATTTAGCAGTTTGTGATATTCTCTACAAAAAATCAGTGATTTCAAATTTATCGGGCGGTGTAATGAATCAAACAGTCAGAATTCTGATGAAAATAAAAGTGACGAGTCTGAAGAAATCAATTTTACAACTTCAGTGTAATTACGGTCAAGCCAAAACAAATAATCTTCTAAGCTTTTTGTTGAGGATATTGATGGTGGTGGAAATTACACTGAAATTAAAGAATTAGAACGCAGTAATGACGGGACTGAAACGTCAATTATGGCCGAACCAAATTTGAAGACAACATCTGAATCAACACTTCATCAAAAATTGAAAGCTGCCATTACGAACGTTAGTCGAATTTAGAGTCCAGAAGATGTGTTATATGACGTTACAAATATTACAAAAGAAATAAATATTTTTGATGCAACGAAAAAGCAAACAAATAATTTAGACAGATTATATAATGCTCTATTAACTATCCCACCAACTTCAATCGATTTAGAAAGAGCTTTTTCTGCGGCAGATCTTTTTATTATAAAAATTCGGTCATCGTTAAGTGATAGCGCTATTGACAATTTATGTTTTTTAAAAAATTATTTTAAAAGTTAATATATATAAAATATAATGTTATTGAAGTTTATATTTGTTTTATTTTGAGAGTCTTCATTTCTAAGAATTATTTTGTCTTTATTTTCTAATTAAAAGTAATAGTATTTAAACCCCTTTTTTTCTGTATTTGTTTGAACTTACACATCCCCCCCCCCCTAACTAGTTTGATAAATTCTTGCTTATTACCTAATCCCGGGATCTCGGGAAATTAATCATTTTTGTCCCGGAATCCTGGGAATGAGATTTTTACGGGAAATGTGAAGCCCTAGTTCAGATTATATCCTATTAAAATTGAATTTTCAGCCATTTTTTGGTTTGTTCAATGATTTGTGTGAAAATCATAGTTTTTATGGACACTCCTTTAATGCAATGTTGTTCGATTTGTCATACCACACCTAATATGATAAGTGATCTAAAAATCTTTGAGGAAGAATTTGTTGCTAATAGACAGGGATTGTGCTACATCATTACATGTTTGGATAAGGTGTTTTGAGTTTTTAATATTAAAATAGAATGAAAACTTGACAAGTAAAAAAGGTTTTTATAAAGATATTTATGAAAATTAAAATTTAGAAAAAAGAATTGATTCACATATAAGTTTATAGTTATAGTTCTGTAAGTGCAAGGCAAAAAATCAAGTTCTGAATTATGAACTGTGAACAAGATATATCTTTATGTGTGAATTATGAACTGTGAACAATGTATACTTTTATGTGTGAATTATGAACTGTGAATAATATATACTTTTATGTGTGAATTGAGAACTGTGAATAATATATGCTTTATAACCTTTACTCTGCTATAACAGTTTATTAAATAAATAAAAAATGAAAGAAATATTAGACTTGTATTAAAATTTATACAATCTGTTTTTTTTTTCTTTTTTTCCAGTAAGGGATGCACAACTAAAGCTTTGTTCTCCCTTGTTTGCTTTTTTGTCCCCCCCCCCTGCTTGCTTCTTTGTTTCCCCTTGCTTGCCTCTTTGTTCCCTCTTGCTGCACCCATGTTTCAAAACCAAAAATTTTTTCCCTATTTTACTTATACTCAACATGCAAACAATTACATGAAATAACAACATATTTTTGCAATAATTACTCGACACTAGATAATTGGTATCAAGTCTTGATTTATCATCTGGTAATGGTGCCTTACTTTACAGTATTAATATTGAGATCACACAATACTGATATTCAAAGTATCAGTTATGGGTAATTCCATGTCAAATGATCCAGAAATTTTTTAAAATGTCACCCTATATTTCAGATTTTGCTGATTTGTACATAGTTGAGCGTACCTTGTAAAATAAGAATTCTTTTTTTAGCCTCTGGCTCCAAGAGGATTCTGAAATATGACCATTTTACTTTTAACAGAAGTTTATTTTAAGGTTTCAAGTTACATAACTTAAAAATTTTTTTTTTTCAAATGTGTACCTGGCAATTTTCAGGGGTGGTAAATTCAATGAAATGATCAGAAAGGTAGAAAATTATTTTTAAGTACCTGTATTTATCAGTTTAAAAAATTTAGGCAATTTTTATTATACCTGATTTTAATGCTCAAGAAACCCATGAAGCCTTGATATAAAAAATATATATATTACACATCATTCTATATTCATTGATCTTTCAAAAATTATAAAGATTTCGATCTGCAAGTATGGTTTTGATCTGCAAGTATGGGTTTCCATATATGGATAACAAGGCGCGGGGTCCCCGCTTTTTTGTAGCAGAATGTTGCAATTGATTTTTCACTAACTTCCATACTAGCTGAAACCTTTGGCATTTCTGTAGTGCCAATAAATATGCATGTTAAAGTTGTTTTCAGGGCCCAAGACACCAGAAGGGGGGGAGTTGGTCATGTACCCTACTTTTTGTAATGGAATCTTGTGATAGATTTTTCACTACTTTTCAGACTAACTGATTCTTTGAAAATTTCAGCATTTGTGTAGTCTTGATGAACATGTGTTAAAATTGTTTCCAGGGCAGATGACAGATGTCTAGGGCACTGGGGGAAATTTATCTCAAAACAATTTTTTTTTTTTTTGCATTTTTAATAAAGATAACTTTAAAAATATTGTTTTCAAAAAAAATTTTCGGTTTATATTTGTTACATTCGGTTTTTCAACATTCTGTATTCAATGATCTTTCTTAAAGTGTTTTTAGAAAGTACATATGTCTATAAGATTTTTGGTTTGCAAGTATATGGATCAAAAATATTCAACCATCTAAAATAATGATTTTAACAGAATTTTACATTGTATAATTTAAAACTTTTTGAATTGAAAAGAAAACAGATAGAACAAGATTGATCTGTCAAAGAACAAC